CCAAGATCTCTCCCTGGCTGTGTTGCTGTGCAAAAATGTAAAACGTCTTTCTCCATCCACTGCAGGAAATTCACCATCTGTTTACTTAAGGAAGTTTTATCACATCTCTCATTTGGTTACTGTTTCCTACATTTCAAATACACTGCTGTTTACACCACTGCACCCACTCGTCACATTTTGCTGAATTATCTTTCTGATTTCCTATATTTTTGGCTGGTAGGTGCAGTGAATGCAGAGCACGCTTTAAATTGGGATTTTTCTGAAACTATTAACTAAATAGAAGCACTTAATTCATGATGTCAGCCAGACCCCTCACCCCTTATTTCTAGATGTCTCATAGGCATAGCAGAAAACCAGAATTTTCCTTGAATGCTGTAGTTGATGTGCATATGTTAATTTCAAGTGGTTGGTTTCACTTCATCAGGATTTTAGCTGAAGGTTAATGCAGTTAATAAGTAAGATTAATCTTGCCATGTTGGTTTTTGTCCTCAGATGGTAAACAGCATTGTTCAAACAGTGACACTTCGAATGACACTTCGAATGTCACTCGAGAGCGTTCTCTGAAAGCTGCACTGTCACGTTTACTTGTTTTATCATACAGATCAGTTGATTTTAGAATATCCCTGTTTTTCCGACATGGTGATTATTTATGGAAATTGCAGATAGTTCCCCTGAATTCTGAGGGAGCTATAGGAGAGCTGTGTTTTTCTTTGTGTGTATGACCCCAGATCCGGCCATGTTTTGGAACTATCATTCACTCTGTACTACAGAATTTTGCTTTTTTCATCTTCCCCTCAGTCCATCTTGCCATCTTTTAACCTTTTCTCCGGAGCCAATTCAGATACTGCTGTGCTGATCATATATGCGAAACAGTGAAGTCTAATGAAGTTCTTTATGAATCACTGGAAATGATTTTTTCTAAAGGAGCCTCTGTGGATGGCAGCAGGGCAAATTTGAAATACTTGATGGTTGTATAAAACGAGCTACTACTAAAGCTAGGGGATCTTAGCTTCCCCTACATGGCCATTTGGCTTTGGTAAGGTCACTGTCACTGGTGCTGGTGTTGATAAGAGAATTAATAGGAAAAAGGACTTTGGAACCAAAAGGCAGAACTGAGCTTTTCTGTTGTTTTCTCCTTTTCTGTGCAGGGGAGAGACCATGCTAACACAGGGACTGTGCAGACAGTGCCCCTCAGAAAGGGAACCTAGAGACACACTCCAGTGCCCCTGGGCACCCTGCGATGGCCGTTGGCAGTGTCCTCACAGATGTCCTGGCAGCCTCCCAGCAGTGACCATGACCACCTCGAGGAGAAAGAACTGCAGGTCTCCTGGCCAGACACCTCAGACCGCCGAGCTGCTGCCCTGGAGCAGAGACTGAGGGGGATACCTCTCCCCACTAGACATTTAGAGCAGCGACAGCACTATGCCTAGGATTCCCTGTAGATCTCTCACACGCATATATGTGCTCTTCAAGCATAGCCTGTGTTTTCTTATCATAAGCAATGGTACTGGCAGGCACAGTGGGAGCTCCAGGCATCTGTGTTATTCAAGACAAATTTGAGACACTGGAACAAAGATACTTTTGTGTGTTGGATGGAGTGGAGAAGCTAAGCACTGTAGGAGGAGCTCCTGTGCTCAGAAGGACTGCCATTGTGGATGTCAGGACAGTGATGGATCTGAGGTTGATGAAGTCTTGGTACTACTGCCTCTCATGTCTTAGTGGGTATTTAAAATAATAAATAAAGAAAGGGAGGAGGTGGCAGTTAGGTGCTGTGGGGAAATCGGGAGTGGAATGGGGGCGGTGACAAGATCTTAATTAGTCACCGGTTCAACCACTTCACCCTTGGGGCCATTGCATTTCTTATGTGCTTGCCCTGCATTTCCACCCTCCACACCGAGTCTGGCAGAGGAAACTTGTTATGGGAAAGTGTATGTTCTGCTTTGGAAAAGAGAGCTAGTTGAACACTAAGAAAAGCAGGCTTCTTTGTTTATTCTCAGGACCTTTTTGTAACAGGGCTACATTCTGCAAACTGCTCACAAAGGAAGACTATGCGTCTTAACAAATTACTTAGCCACTGAATCCTCCCAGTTTGGGCCTGTTTTATTAATGTCAGAAGAATCCCTGAGTAGATTTGGGGGCCCTAATCACTAGGGTACTAATGCTCTGGAACCTTCTGCTCTCCACCTCCCCTGCCCTATCCCTCCCCTGCACCACCCCAGCTAGTAGATGTCTTTCCACCTAGGGCTTCGTGACCTCCACAGGATGAGTAACTTCATTTGTTAAGCGTGGAGGTCACCAGGCCCTTGGGTGGGAGACTGCTTTATATACCTCTTCCTCAGTAATGCAAATGCAAGTTGTGGTGGTGGGGGTTAAGGCCCATAACAAAGGATCTTAAACCATGCAGTGTACGCAATTTAAATTGTATTCTACAGATATAAATATTTTCTTTTCCTGTTGCCGTGACACTATGTGTGATGGTAATATTTCTGAGAGTTTCAGATTTTTGCACATATGATTTTATGCATTATCAAAAGTTACTGCTGCCTTGAATGAAAATGTTCTGTGAAATTTTTTGCAAAAGCTTTACTAGGTTTTTTTTTAATTGTGAAATTTTGTAAAGGCAGGAAATGATTAAAGTGAGCATGCTAAATATATTTTTCAAAAAAGCAATAATTTTACATGTACAGAAATTATCCTAACCTTTAATACTGGTGAGAGCGACAGTTTACTTAATACAGTAATGGATTAATGCAGTTTTTGTAGAAAATGGGCTTCTGATACAAAGACTTGTTTAAACTCACACCAACACGCAAACCCTGAAGTGTGGTTTTCCTGTTCTAATGATTTGTTGGATTATTATATTATTATTATTATTATTATTTTATTGTTATTGTTAGTTAATGTTTGTTCTGAATTCTTGTTACTGAGTTTAAATTACTTGACAGTTCAGGTGACTG